TTCACAGGCATCGGTCCACACTACAGGGTTCTTTTGGTCTTTCATTGTCAATGATGTGAGGGGTGCTTCAATGGAGGCGAACTGTGGCACAAAGCGGCGATACCAGCCCGATAATCCCAGAAAGGACCTCACGTCCTTCTTCGTCCGGGGCCTGGGGCAGTTGCGAATCGCCTCCACTTTATCAACCTGCGGCCGCACTTCACCCCGTCCAAGACGATAGCCCAGGTACTGAGTCTCTTTCTTCGCCCACTCACACTTTGAAGGATTCAGGGTCAATCCAGCCTCCTGAATCTTTCCCAGAACCAAAGATAAGTGGTTCAAGTGTTCCTCCCAGGTGTGACTGAACACCACCACGTCGTCCAGATAGGCCGCGCTGCACTGACCACACCCTTGGAGGACTCTGTCCATTAATCTTTGGAAGGTGGCCGGGGCTCCATGCAGTCCAAAGGGCATGAAAGTAAATTGCAAGAGCCCGGCTGGTGTCTGGAAGGCGGTAAAAGGTCGGCTGGACTTCCCCAAGGGCACCTGCCAGTACCCCTTACACAAGTCGAGGGTGGTGATATACCGGGCACTTCCAATGCGCTCGAGCAGTTCGTCAATACGCGGCATGGGGTAGGCGTCAAACTCTGAAATTGCAGTGAGTTTGCGGAAGTCAATACAAATCCTGAGGGAACCATCCTTCTTCAGCACTATCACTATTGGGCTACACCACTCAGAATTAGACGGCTCAATGACTCCTAACCGCTGCATCTCTTCCACTTCCTCTCTGAGCTTGTTGACTAGGTGCTGTGGAACGCGATATGACCGTTGGCGGATTGGGCGTCCCTCTCTCAAGCGGATCACATGCTCTACTAAAGTAGTCCGTCCAGGTTTGGCTTGGAACAGGGATGGAGCTTCTTCAAAAACCTGGAACAACTGTGTTGTCTGCTCTGGAGTGAGGTGGGCCAACACGGGAACTGCAGATTTGGGCAGGGACTCCATCCCCAACTCCTCCTCATCTGAGTCTACTTTCTTCACCAGTAGGGATTGCAAGGAAGGTGGTGCATCTTTCCACGCCTTGAGTAAGTTGACATGATAAGTCTGTTTTGACTTCTTTTTGTCTGGATGATGCACCTCATACGTCACAGGGCCCATTTTGCGAACAATTGTGTAAGGCCCCTGCCACTTCGCCAATAGTTTGCTGTTTGCCGACGGCAGCAGCAAGAGAACCTTTTGTCCAGCCTGGAACTCCCGATGACGAGCCTGCTGATCATACCAGGTCTTTTGGCTGCGTTGGGCATCCCGCAGGTTCACCTCTGCCTCCTCCTGGTACTTCCCCAGCCTATCCCTCATGTCCAGGACATACTGTACAATGCTTCGTTCATTGGGTTGAGGGGTGGCTTCCTCCCAGCCTTTACGCAGGAGATCCAGGGGACCTTGAACATCCCAGCCGTAGAGGAGCTCAAATGGCGAGAACCCGGTCGAGGCCTGCGGCACTTCTCGATAGGCGAATAGACAAAATGGCAGCCACTGGTCCCAGTCCTTGCCAGTGTCTGATACAAACTTTCGCAGCATCTTCTTCAATGTCTGGTTAAATCTTTCAACGAGACCCTCAGTTTGAGGATGATATGGTGTTGTTCGGAGTGGAGAGATTCCCAGCTGCTTATGGAAAAGCTGCATGAGCCGAGAGGTGAAGTTCGTACCCTGATCTGTCAGAATTTCATCAGGGATTCCTACACGGGAGAACAGCTGAATGAGAGCACGCACAACCGCGGGAGCAGTTATTGTTCGCAGAGGAAACGCTTCCGGAAAACGGGTGGCATAATCTGAAATAACCAGGATATACTGAAAACCTCGGCTACTTTTCGGGAGGGGTCCAACAATATCCATGGCTATGCGGCGGAAGGGAATGTTAATGACGGGTAAAGGCTGAAGGAAAGCTCGGTCAGATTTGCGGACAAAGCATGTCTTTTGGCAACTTGGACACGAAGCACAGTATTTCTGTATATCGGAATACATGGATGGCCAATAAAATCTAGAGCTAACACGGAGATAGGTTTTATGTCGGCCCAAGTGCCCCGCCCACGGAATAGTATGTGCAAGGTGCATAACAAGTGGTCTTGCGGTGGAAGGTACTACCAGCCGTTTAGAACTTTCCCCCACATTATACAACACATCATTGTCAAGTACAAAACATTTCTGGTCAAATTTAGCTTCTTTTGCACTGTTAATCACCTTTGAAAACAGCGGTTTCAACGTACTATCACCCTTCTGTAACTCTGAAATGTCCCCTGGCACTTCCCAATGGCCTTTAATCTCCCCCCGCTCGTCTGGGCACTCCCTGTGCAGCTGCTTTTCAAAACGGCGCTGACGCCGAGACTTTCTCAGCCCTTTAGAACCCCCCTCAAAAACACTGTCATCAAAAGAAAATGGTAGATCAGGTAAACTATCACCAACTGGATTCAGGCTACCCCCTGCCCCCGAGTCCAATGTCTATGATGCCACCTGGAGATTGTTCCTAGCCTGCGCCCGAGTCAGTACCGCACAGGATTGACTGGTTGTCTCCTTCTCCTCTGGGTCATGTCTATTGTCCAATAACAAGTCCAGTAGTATGGGTAGGTCCCAGCCAAGTATTACCTGAACCGGCAGGTTCTCCACAACCCCCACAGTCAGCAGGTAGGTTTGCCCATCAATGTCCACAGTCAAGTCAGTGGTTGGATAGAGGTGTCTGTCACCATGTACACATACAATGTCCTCCTGCACCCCATAGTCTATTTTACTCACTGGTACAAGATCCTGCCTTACAAGAGACATGAAGCTGCCACTGTCCAACAAAGCATTCACTCTTTGTCCATTTACTACCAGAGGCTTATGCCGTCTCAAAGTCACAGTCTGTCTGTCTCTTTCAGGCCGTGGCGCGTAACATGCACCAGAGAGCTTTGTTTTACGGATAGGGCAGAGTGAGGCCTTGTGTCCTGATTGTTGACAGTAAAAGCAGATAAGCTCCTTACCGTATCCTGGTCGACTTGAGGGGTGTCCGGAGTTACCTGGAGGAGTATCATGGCTGGCCTCTGGTCTCACCAATCTGGGCGGCGGTGCTGGTCGACGAGCAGAGCTGCTGGAGTACGACGTCATGCTCCCCTTCCGAGCATTGAAGTATTGGAGAGCCAGCTTGGAAGCTGCCAGCCCATTCTTTGGTTCATGTTCCTTCACCCACGTTCTCACCTCTCCCGGAAGAACACGAAGTAGCTGCTCCAGGATGATAGCCTCTCCTATATCCTCCTTGGTGTGTAGCTCCGGATGGATCCAGCGTCGATAAAGGGACTTCAGACGGTGATACGTTTCAGTTGGGTTTTCATTCGGAGGGACAACGGTTGACCTAAACTGCTGACGATATGTCTCTGGGGAAATGTCAAATTTTTCCAGCAGTGCAGCTTTGAGCTCTGGATAGCAATGAGCTTGCTCCTCATCCATTGCTGTATACGCCTCTAATGCTTTGCCGGTAAGCAGGGGAACCAGGCGGCAAGCCCACTCGTTCTCTGGCCACGCCCATGTCTTTGCAATGCGTTCAAAGCGCAGGAGATAGTTCTCAATGTCCTCTCCAACCTGATACAGTGGAATTTTGGGGTCACTGTACGATCTGACCTCTGGTCTCGGTTGTTCCAGTACCCCGCTTCTCTCTCTCTCATGGAGTTTTGGCCACGCTGCCGAGGTGCAGGAGTGGGCAGGTCGATTCGTGGACTCCAAGCGGATGAGCAATCTCCATCTGGGGAACCAGCCCGCTGTGGCCCTGATGCTCGGAGTTCTCTGAGCTCAGCGAGCAGACCTTCTTCCCTCCTCTGCTGTCCCTCCAGGAAGCCCCGCATCAGTGCCAATAGCTCCCCTCCTGATCCATCGGATGGAGGTTGGCCACGGGAGGAGGGCTCCTCTTCGTCCTCCGTCGCCCAGGCATCTTCATCTCGCTCTATTCCCCCGGTGGCCCCCAAAGACAAACTCTCAGTCTTCTGTGACCTGAGTCCGGTGCGTTTGCGCGGAAAATAAGAATGCTTCTTCTGACTGGCCATCCCACTTCTGACACCATATGTTGTGGGGTCTTTTCCCAAAAACACAATGGCTCAGTCAAAAAACACTTTTCACAGTGATTTATTATTTCCCATTATTATCCCAGTGCAATACAGTGCAATATTTACAAGTTGTAGGCGCATGCTCATCTCAGGTTCTCAGGTGTTGCCTTCTCTGCAACCAAGCATCACTAAACTCGAGCAGGCCAGACCGGTCCTGCTCTTAAAGCACAAGCCCCTCCCCTGGGCGTTTGACAAACACAAAATACATTCACTGACTTTAAAGTCCATTTACCCCCAAAACAATACTATAGAAATAGTCCCCCACTACACAGTAAAGAATAGGATAATCCCCACACTGAATAATCCCCCTTTACAGTCATAAGAAACAAAAACACAAAATAAGGATCACATGACGCTCCTCAACACTTATAATGTGTGTGTGCGTCTCTGCCTCTGTTTGGCCAACCCACGGGACACACGCGCGCGCAGTCCCGAGGAGCGCACGCACGTGCGCGCACACGCGAACGGTGAGTAGCACGACGGTGAGACCTAGTGTGCACCCGAGATCTCACCAAACGCACTCACACTCCCCCCCAGACAGAGAACTAGCCGTGGGTAATATGTAAACGCTGCTGTAGTACGTGCATAACACGGACGCTCCAGAGAAAAAGAGTGCGCGTCCCAGTGCGGTGCTCTCAGTACTAGGACAAGCTGTGTGGCCCCGTCACAAAATCCATGTGACGATTTACCTGTATTTGATATGACATGGATATAACCCTGCCCTCCACTCCGTTACTCCACTGTCTCACGTTGCTCTGGTCACTTCCATCGGTCTCACAGCTGGTTTCGTGGCATTCTGTTCTGGTATTTGTCATTTCTTGTAACATCTACTCTTCCATCTGATCTTAGGCAGAGGAAAGCTGAAGGAGGAGCCAGGCATAATGAGAGAGTGAGGACTTAGCTGAAGAGAAGAGTCCTGAGCAGGTTTGGAGGTCTGACGAAGGAGCTCAAGGATCTGATGGAGGAGGAACAGAACATGTCACACATCACTAACAGCTCATACAGCCCAACACTCTTCATTTGATCATTTTCTAAGAACATATTTACTTCTGAGTTAAAGCTGGGGTACCTGACTTGACCTAAGGTGTGTCTGAAAAACCGTATCTAAGGATGTGACAGAGGCCAGAGATACATTTATAAGATAAGAAAGAAGCAACTGTTTTAGAGCCAGGAAGTAGTTCTAGGGGCTTCCGACTCAGGCCTGAGGTGGGGTCTCCGTGAAGCTGCTGCATGAAGCACTTTATTTCTCACGTTTTTGTGTGTGTGAAGAATATATGAACATTGGAGCAAATCTTTGCACACACAGAAATTATCTTCATTCTTTAACATTAACAGAGAAAGTAAACGTTTGAGTTTGTGGAACAGGGACAAAAACCAAGAATCAAGCGTTTTACAGTTTGCCGTTGTATTATTATTAATATGAGTTGATAGATTTATATATTTCTATGAAAAAAAATTAGTCCAGCTGCTGGACAAAACTGGACAAAAAGCAATGAGGAAAGCAATGTTTACATTGAGGTATTGCTTATTTCTATCAGGGTTTGGTGTTTATAGTTAAATAAATGTTGTGTTTTTCTGGTAAAATGATCTTTTAAACGAATGCGCCATATTTGCCCAGACAGTGAGGTCCGCACATGGATCTGTAATAGTACCGGATACGCACTCACGTTAAAGTGTGATTTCCACAAGGGTGCCACAAAGCACCTTTTTGCGGAATGCAAATGGCCCACAGGCCACATGTTTGAGACCACGGAGTTAAATGGAAATTAAGTTATATGCAAGAACATTTGAATCTGGAGACTCGAACAGGCCAAACATGGTATTAGAATTGTATGTTGGTTGGCAGGTAATCTGACACTGCATGAATTACACATGACACTAAAGACAATATTTTCAAGATCACATTTATTGTGCTGAACAGAATGTGGTTGGGATTTGGCGCTTAGACCCCGGCAGAGCACTGCACGATTGCAGAAGGGGAAAGAGATGAGATGAAATTCCCCAAAAGGAAAGTGCTTGCCAGGGAATAAGGCCGTGAATGGAATCAAATGATTACCTCAAGATATTTGATGTCTGGCAGCAGTGAATGCCTACAGGAATGACCTGAGGCTGCTGATGAAGTCCAGTTGTTTGCGCTGCGGGAAGTGACGTAAGCGGATTCAGTTCATCACAGGAATAACTGAATCGTTAGTGTCCCTAAATGTCCTGGATCTTCACCGCTGTCCTTTTTGTTAGACCCATAGGGGGTCCAACAGACCCTCCTGCATCGGCAAGGAAAAACTCAAAAACCCAGTGGGAAAAATGAGAAACCTCGGGGAGACCCACATTTTGAGAGAGGGATCAGCTCCACACAGACGGACGGGCTATAGATCCAGGACTAATGCAATATATAGACCGTATACAGTACGTATATGAACCACCATTTTATTCTATTTTATTTTATATATTTTCAAGATTACATTTATTGTGCTGAACAGAATGTGGTTGGGATTTGGAAGCGCCGTTTGCCGGGGAGTGGTTGCCAAGGGGCTGGCCGGGCTGTGTGATTGGCAGGGCTTGAGAGGCTGGCAGAGCTGTGTGATAGACAGGCCCTGGCGGTGAGAGCTGTGGCCGGTCTTTCAGGTTGAATTTGTGCTTCAGCTTCATTTCAATCTGAAGAGACCAAGACAGAGACATTAGTGCATAAAAAGATTTATTTGATTGGCGCATTGACCCCGGCAGTGACATTTGCAGACGATCTCTCCTCTGCTGCTGTAGATTATCTCAGACCCCCAAAAAGAACGGAGCTTGTGTGTGCCAGGGAATGCACAATGACGTTTAGGCCGCTGAAGAGCGTGGGGTTGCATGGAGCAGAGGTTGCATGAACGGAATTGCATGGACAGCGTTGAAGCATAGGATAGAGAATATGCAGGGGGGGGGGGGGGGGAGTGATCCGCACGCTCAGTAATGAGGCAGGAGTGAGTGAAGCGTGGGCCCTGGGGGCGTGCAGAGGTTTTCTCGACACGGGCCGCTTCGTGAGATGCGTGTATGAGGTAAGCTGCAGGGGATCTGCGGGAACAGCGACTCACTGAATGAGCAGTTGTAGTGGAATTGCGTGTGTGATGAATGCGGGAAGTGTAGAGTAAATGCGTGTAATCGCAAAGCTGATGCTTTGCGAAAAGCAATGCGCGTTGAGAATCAGGGGCAGCAAGTTAGAGAGCGTTCTCATACAAGATCTGCTTGAGCATTCGTGTATCAGCAAATGATACAGAGAATATGCGGGAGGAGTGATCCGCACGCTCTGTAAGGAGGCAGGAAAGAGTGAAGAGTGGGCCCTGGGGGTGTGCGGAGCCGTCTCTCGGCACAGGCCGCTTCGTGACATGCGTGTATGTTGTGAGCCGTAGGGGGTTATGCAGAGAAGCTTCTCTGCACAGAGCGCTGCGGTGGGCCTGCATGTATGTAGCGTAAGACAAGCGTAATTATATGCATGTCTGAATTGAAAGGCAACATCCATCCATCTATGGCAACCGAGGGGTTAACAGATCGGAGAAATAATAATAATAATAATAAAAGATTTTAGAGAGGTTGTAGCAACGCCACCCCAGACTTCCTGGGGAAATAATGTAGTGTAGATTGAAGGCACACAAGTAAGTGTATTGAAATACAAGGCAACCGGTTCCAGTTAATTCAGTTTTATTCAACAGATATTTAATTATCAATCAATTATTTTAAGACAGTTAAGGTGCTTTCACATTAAAAAGCGCTAATGTAGAAATAAAAGGTTTAAACGAGTAAATTGCCTGAAATGTCCGCCTGACAGGCAAAACCCAGGGCAAAGAGTGTGCGCACGGGTCCGCGTCTCTGCTCGCCGTCTGAAGGGACACACCAGTGCGCAGCGCGCGACCTGGACCAGACGGGGAGGAGCAGGCAAAGTGGGACACAAAAACAGGCAACAGTAAAACAGCACTTTAGGCAGACACAAAATCAGCAGTAGACAAAACAGCAGGAGCAAAAACAGCAGGAGGCAAAACAGCAGGAGGCAACGATCAGTGCCACTGCAGACCTCTGAGGACACCGCTGAGGTGAGCAACTGCGCACGATCCCGGCTTGAAAGGCCAAGGGATGGCGCATGGAGCAGGCTGCCTGATGGCACGGCCAGTCCTGCAGCGTGGCTGTAACACAGTGCACGGATGCGCGCACCAGAGTGGTGCAGAGCAGCGAGGAAATGCTGTATTTGGCAGTGATCAGACAGTGACACTGGAGCTGGTGAACAGGCGGCCAACACAAGGGCCCGGAAGAGTGTGTGGGCAAAGAGGAGTACAGCTGAGATTTGGGAGCGCTTTTATTGCCCACCGGGCCAGCGCCACGGAGCGGCAGGTAAGAGCACACCAGCACAGGTCTCCAAAGCCCGTCTTACCACATTCTACCCCCCCAGTTTGCATCGTCGCCCCGACGATGGACATACTTCACCTAGTTCCATGGCCTGAAGAGTGTGCTTACGGCGCTAGAAGAAGAGGATGCAGCATCCTCTCCCCTGGCCGGAAGGTGTGATGACCTTGGGAGATGATGCAGGTTGGCATGCCGTCCAGCCGTGGAGCGAGTGGATCTACGCAGGCTCTCCTCCTGGCCAGGGGCGACAGTCTGTGCCACAGGCCTTCGTTGAACATTGGGCACCCCAGAAGGGGAAACCTGAGGGAGCCCCAAACCTGCCGGAACTGGGTGAGGCGGCTGTAAGGACGGAGTAGTGATCCGAGACACAGCATGTCGATCGGGAAGAGCGGAGGAAGTTTCCAGAGTAGGCTGAGTCCTTAAAAACAGGTCACCATCTAAGGACTCAAGAGAGGGTTCGTCACTTAATGGAGGCGGTTCACCAGAACCACCAGATGGACTACCGACAGCAGCGTCAGATGTGTCAAAGGTGACAAAGGCTTTAAGCAAAGAGCGATGTACCCGCTTAATCTTACTGGGGTCATCGACTGGCGCCACAGTGTATACGGAACCTTGTTCCTTCGGTACCTGCATAACCTGATAGGTGACCGAATTCCACAGGTCCTGAGTCTTCTGCCGACCACGGAAAGCACAGTTGCGCAGAAGCACAAGCTGACCCTCTATAAGGGGTGCATCTCGCACATGTCTATCGTAGTTGTTCTTACGACGATGGGCTGAAGCCCTTAAGCGCTCCCGAGCCCCTTCGAAAGCTGCCTCTAGTCGTGCTTGGTGTTCGTGAACCCATTCACTAACGCTCTCTGCCACCGGTTCCCTCACCTGACCCAGAAAGAAATCAACGGGTAGCCGAGGTTCCTGCCCGAACATCAGGAAATAAGGGGATTCTCCTGTTGACTGGTGAGGGGTGGTGTTATATGCAAACAGGACCTCCGGCAAGCAAGAACTCCAGTCTCGTTTGCGCGAGGGTGGCAAGGCACGCAGCAGATTGTGAAGGGTCCTGTTAAAGCGCTCGCACTGCCCGTTACCAGCTGGATGATAGGGCGTAGTGCGAGACTTTATGACCCCATACAGACTGCACAGCTGTTGGATTAAAGCACTTTCAAAGTTACGGCCCTGGTCCGAGTGGATGCGAGCGGGGACGCCCAGCTTCATGAACCACTCAGCAACCAGAACCTGAGCCACTGTGGAGGCCCGTTGATCTCTGGTGGGAATGGCCAAGGTATATTTACTAAAAACATCGGTCATCACCAGGACATTTTCCAAGCCAGTTGGGGTAGGCTCTAATAAGGTGAAATCGATGGCAACGATTTCATTTGGCCGAGAGGCCAACAGGTGCCCCAAGTAGCTGTGAGGGGCGGGCTGGTTGTTCTTAGCGAACTGGCACCGCTCACAGGCCTGGCACCACCGAGCTACCTCTCGGGACATCCCAGGCCAGTAGCAGCGAGTTTGCAGCAAGGCCAGGGTCCTGTCCACTCCCTGGTGGCCATGTTCTTGGTGCACCTGCTTTAGGACATCCTGGACCAAAGCCTTGGGCAGCAGAACCTGGTGTACGGCACCACCACCATCCGAACGAAATACCTGTCGGTACAGAAGCCCGTCCAGTTCCACTAAACGGTCCCACTGTCCGAGCAGGGTGAGGGCAGATTGAGAAAAGCCCTTTCGCTCATCTGGAGTGGGCCGTCGTTTCTGACGCCAGAATGCCGTGACTTCCTGGATGGCCGAGTCCTCCTGTTGGAGAGTAGGAAGGTCAGCAGGAGCGCAGTGCGGGAAGACCACTACCATGGACTGTAATGCCTGCTCCTGCTGACCCTGCAGGGCTTGCTGAAGAGGAGAAGGCAGAAGAGTACCTGGCACCAGTGGTTCCAGTGTCTGCGATGACCAGGGCTGCCGAGAAAGAGCATCAGCGTTTGTGTTGCTCCTCCCTGACCGATACTTAAGCTCAAAGTCGAAGGAGGCCAACTGAGCGGCCCAACGCTGTTCTACGGCCCCTAGCTTCGCAGACAGTAGGTGGCTCAATGGGTTATTGTCTGTGTAGACGACACACTTGTGCCCCAACAGGTACTCCCTGAATTTTTCTGTAAGGGCCCACTTGAGACCCAACAGCTCCAACTTCATGGAACTGTAATTTGACATGTTCCGCTCAGTCGGTCTTAACCCGCGACTAGCATATGCTATCGGCCTCACTTTACCTTCGTGCTCTTGTGAAAGCACAGCGCCCAACCCACCGTGGCTTGCATCAATCTCTAAGATGAAGGGACGAGAGAAGTCGGCATATGCCAAAACCGGAGCTGAGGTGAGCTTGGCCTTAAGGGCTTCGAAGCTTCGTTGGCACTCCTCAGTCCAGTCTGCCTCAGTGATTGGGGCAGTTTTTCTCTTTTTGGAGGGCTTACCAGTGAGCGCTGCCACCCTGTGGTGCAAGGGAGCAGCCAACTTTGCAAATCCCTCCACAAAGCGACGGTAGTAGCTTGCGAACCCTAAAAACGATCGCAGCTCCGTGGCCGTGGTTGGAGTGGGCCAATCAGCTACTACGTCAATTTTGCTAGGGTCAGTGGCTACTCCTCGATCAGAGATGACGTGCCCAAGGTACTTCACCTCTGTCTGGAAGAAGCTGCACTTACTCAGCTTCGCCTTCAGACCTTCCTTCTGCAGCCGACCCAGCACCACAGCCAGCCTCTCCAGATGCTGCTGGACACTGGACGAGTAGACCACAATGTCGTCCAGGTACAAAAGGAGAGACTGGCACTGTTGGTCCCCAAAGATGCGTTGCATCAGACGTTGGAAGGTGCTGGGGGCATTGCAGAGCCCGAAAGGCATGCGTTTCCACTCAAACAACCCAAATGGCGTGCAGAACGCAGTTTTGTGCTGATCGCTTTCGGTGACAGGTACCTGGTTGTACCCGCTGGCTAAATCCAAGGTGGAAAACCAGCGAGCACCTGTCAAAGCGTCAGAGACTCCTCGATGCGGGGTAGTGGAAACGCATCCTTTCGGGTCTTGCTGTTCAGTTGACGGTAGTCAACACACAGTCTGAGGCTTCCGTCCTTTTTCCGGACGAGAACTATAGGGGAGGCGTAGGGACTGGAACTCTCCGTAATCACCTGTGCCTCCAAGAGCTGATGGATGTGCTCTTTAACGAGCTCATACTCTGATGGAGGTATTCGCCGATACCGCTGCCGGACTGGCACCTCATCCGTGAGAGGGATGTCATGGGTGACCAAGTTGGTGCATCCCAAGTCCTGGTCATGGGCAGCAAACACTGACGTATACCTCCTTAAGAGAGATCGCACCTGGTCCTGCTCCTCCCCGGACAGAAGAGACAGATCTAGTCCTTCAAAAACATCTGACACAGAGGTGGTGGCCGTCTGCGATGAGACGGACGCGGCTGCAGCTGGCACCTCCGTCACGCCCGCAGGCAAGCTCACCACATTAACTAGGGCCAGTGTACCTACAACGGTGCGAGGATGCAGCAGGACATCGGTAGTCCCAACATTGATGACTGGGACATAGGCGGTCCCAAAAGCTACCCGAACCAATGCTGGAGAAGCCAGCAGTCCAGCAGGTAAACCAGACTCTGAGGGTTCGAAAAGCGCTGATGTGTCACTGTACAGCTCTGAACATGTAGTTGGCACTATCTTCATCACACCAGCAGGAATGCGGCAAGCTTGCTTTCTCCGCACCCTGACTCTACCTGGTTGTGCTGGAAGTGGCCTCTGATGAGCCAAATGACACTTCTGAAGTGCATTGACCAAAGGGTCAGGAGACAAAACTACAGGGGCTGTGTCAAATAAAGCAGACCCGTATTGTCCAAATAGCTCTTTGTAGCACTTCTGGATGACATTCATACCAAGCACACCAGGAACCTGCACAGGCATGCTGGGAGGATCCCTCACCACCAGTACACCACACCTAGGCATTAACTTTCCACAAAGCTCAACGTCTAGTTCCAAATAGCCTAGATAGGGAATGGCTAAACCATTGGCAGCTCTGAGCTGAAGCCAATGACACGCCTGAAGACGGTCTTTGCCCAGAGACTCAAAATGCTCCCGGAAGAAACCCTCTGTGATGGTTGATACCATGGACCCGGTGTCGAGCAAGCATGGTACTATAACGCCAGCCATGTTCACGTTAATATGGGGGCAAGAAGCAATAAGTTTTGGAACAGCAACGGAACGACTAGGAACGTTTCCTGAGCCAGTAGGAACCCCACCCGAGCTGTGGCTCTGCAGCCTGGTGGGTGCTAGTTTTCCGATTGCTGTTCTGAACGGGAGTGAGTGGAACCACGTGATCCACGGCAATTTCTGGCTATATGTCCAGGTCGGTGGCACCGGTTACAAATGACAGGCGCTTGACGACGGGGGGAGTGACTACGTGAGGACTCAGCCTGCAGGAGGGCGATGCTCCGAGTAAGCAAGTCAAGCTGTTCTTGCTGCCTTTTCAGGAGCTCCTTCATTTCACTTACCTCAGACTGCGAGGGGTAGGTAGGGGTTGGTGGTACACCGCGCACAGTGTTTTGGAGACCATATGCTGAAGGCATCGAATTACTCCGACCCCGGGCGCTGGCTGGAAGACCCTCACGCTCCCATCTCATTGCTTCCTCTCTGACCACAAGCAAGGTTGCTGTTGGGTTTTGGCGGACGTGTTGTTTAAGCACACGACGCAAGGCACCGTCCAGCACATGCTCGATAAATTGATCGCGCAACAATGCCTCAGAATTGGGCATATCGTTTGGAGCACGCGCTTTCACTTTATGCATTAAACTCAACAAAGCGAGGGAGAACTCTTGCAGGGTCTCCCCCTCCTGTTGCTTGCGAGAGAAGAACGACTCCTGCAAAGCTACATAGGAGTCAGAGCATCCGTATAGATCTTGCAAAATGGAGATCAATTTATCTGGGTCTTTTTGCTCTGCGCTGGATCGATACTTAATTTCATGTCGAGCTTCTCCCTCCAAGTGGTCATACATGAAATAAGCTTGGTCTGCACGGGACAGGTGACGCGCTCTCATGCATGCTTCGACCTCCTCGACCCATTCACTCAAACTGATGCCCGTATGGCCCCTGAACATAGGACATTTCCTGTCCTGGGGTATATACATAAGCCGCTCTGTGATGGAGGCAGCTGCAGGCATGGCAGAGGACTCTGCACTGGAGGTACCAGGGGCAGCCTGGTCCGAACGCAGCCTCTCATTCTCAGCGGTTAACTGGGCCACCTGATCTTTGAGGTTCTGAACCTCTGCCGCCATTGGAAAACACGTGGGGAAAAAAAAGAACACAGAAAACGCAGTATATTATAAAAACCTACACGTTGCCGACACTGCTGCTCT